TAATTGTACTCCTCTCGACCAATCAGAGTCGAGTAATTTTGTTGAGTGTACTATAATAATATTAACACGACAATTAAGGTTTCCTATCACCTATGAGCAAATGAAAATGACGTCACTGATATGCATTAAAGCGTAGCCTAAAACAGTCCCACGGTGCAACGCCGTCTCCAACCCGGTATAGTTAGGCTAGTTTCGAGATTTCACAAAATCTTGATTAATAGGAGGTTTGCATGATGGCGTCATTTGACTCTTCGCGAATTTTCTAGTCTGGTAGGCGAGGTCAATGACGCCATTATGCAAAAAAGAAAAAAAATTCTTGGTTTGTTGAAGTAATCTAGTACCGCTCGAAAGCTGGATTTTCATTGCTCCTAAGTACAGTACCACTTTTGTAAGGTTAGGTTTAGTGCTATTGTTTGGATGACCATTCTATTGTTTTTTAATCCAATCGTGGCCGTTCCGAGCGGCACGGGCTGGCTCAAATACACGTCCCATATTCTTGGTTTGCAATCAATCCCAAGAGAGCACAATAACAAAAGGGATACCCGCCATGTTGGAAGATATAACAAAAGAATTCATTGAAAAATCTTTTGTCAAATTCTTCCAACTTGGTGGCTATGACGTCTATTGCAAACGAAGAATTGATAAAATAAGAATTATATAAAGCTCGCGTTACAAGTTCGGTTGGTTTTCCTTTTTTGATTTTGATTATATTATATTGGTACTAATGATTAATTAGTGGTCCAGGGATTTTAAAACGTCTTTAACCCCTGCTTTATAAAGGTCATTGAATTTGTTATTTTTTCATTAATTGAGATTTTCGAGTTATTAATTAAAGACCCATTGCCACTTACCGTGATGCATCACAATTTGTTTACATTTTGAATCGTGTCACCACTGAAAAAACRATTCTAACCTTTTGAATAAAATCTTAAAAGAACGTAAAAGAATAATTATTGTGCCTTAGTGCTATGTCGGAAAAGGATTTAATATGAAGTTATTATTCAATATATGAATCTTTGAATTTCATGGACCACGAAATTCATCTGTGACCGCGGAGCATCACGGTAAGTGGCAATGGGTCTTTAATTGGAAAAATCGAAAAGATCAAAGTGCCGGGAAAATTCATGTAAAAAATAATTAGGAAGATCAATTGGAAACCTTTATTGATTAGGGATCTCCAAACGTATATCAAAGAAATAAAATTAAAGAAAAAATTATAATCTTGCATCAAGGACATTTTATTTATATAATATAAATTAGTCAATATACATATCAAAATAATTTATTTTCAGTGTATATTAATATTGATTTATTTTTAAGATAAAATCTTTAATATAATATAAATAACCATTATTACAAATACAAATATATATCTAAGAGCGAAATTATCAATAGGACGTTTGCATGATGGCGTCATTTGACTTTTACCAAGATAATCGATGCTTCGCGAATTTTCTTTCTTATTTAAATTTGTATTCCCTCATGAGAATAGTAAGACAATTGGTG